TTACGTCTTAAGGCTTTACTGTACTTCACTCTCACTTCAGTTATCCAGGACCAAATAATTCCTGTCAGATTTTATAGCTTCTTGAATCTTCTTTATATTTTGCATGTGTAATTAATGAGATATATATTACTGTATTCTGTCATTAATGAATTTATTAAGTAATTGAGGTTGTGGATAATGAAGGCTACAGACATTGGTGCTCTTAATATGCTTGTATATTGAATCTTATCAACTATAATTCCGTACACTAACAGTTCTCCCACACTCATGCTAATTAATGAATACTAACTAACAGTCAAGATTATTATGTCAGTTTGGTTTTAATTTATCTAAAGTAATTAATAGTCAGTATTTCAAGGTCTGTAGAGACTTTGCTCTTACTAAAAGTATTACAGAATTTAATCGTATAAACTAAATAAGAGTTTTGTAATTAAATGCATCGGGAGTTTACCACTTTTAAAAAACCAGCAGTTGATTGTGTGTTATAATATAATATTCCAGTTGACTGTGTTTTACTGGCTTGTCATGTCACTAATTGTGGTCGTGCGTGTTTTTTATGTGTCTGTGTCCAGGTGGTCTCTCACTGGCTGTGGAGGGATCTAGCAAGGCCGAGATCTCCTGCCACGACAACAAGGACGGCACCGTCTCCGTCTCCTACCTGCCCACCGCCCCGGGAGAGTACAAGGTGTCGGTAAAGTTTGCCGAGAAGCACATCAAGGGATCCCCCTACTCTGTCAAGATCACCGGTGAGGGTCGCAAGAGGAACCAGATCAGTGTTGGGTCCCAGTCTGAGGTGAGCCTTCCCGGCAAGGTTACTGACTCTGACATCAAGAGCCTCAACGCCTCCATCCAGGCTCCATCTGGTCTTGAGGAGCCATGCTTCCTCAAGAAGCTCCCTAATGGACATCTGGGTGAGTTACCGTCCTCTTAGGTGATTTAAATTTTATTATAATTCTAAGTATTTTTTCTGTCAGTCTTCTACTACTGTACAGACACTAAAACATGCTGGAAACAATATTACATTACAGCACAGTATTAAGGTTTGAGGGTGTACAGTATTTTACAACAGTGATGCGTAAACAAACACTGTTTTAATGAAGACAGGTTCTACAGTACTGTACTACAGAAATGGTTAATAAAGATAATTAGGTCACTGTGAGAACGACCATATATTAACACTAGTTGTTAATGTCATTCATAGATTTAATTCTTGACAGTAAGATTTAATTTTTATTCACCAATCAATTTATCGTAAAGTTGTTAATCTTCCTGTCAACTGGTCTCCATCGTGTCATATTACAAAAGATAATATTTAATGTGGACAGTATTGTGTTTAGTAATATCAAAATATTTGGCATCACATATTTTACACATAACAAGTGACATGGGCATACTAATGATTCATGTGGCGGTCATATCCTCAGACACACACCTGATATCCTTACCAAGTTTAGGAGCCACATTAAACTTATCCTTCAATTTAGAAAGACAGTTTGAAAGATTTCCACCGTAGTTTTTATTTGTTGAACAGTTTTCCCATTTCTCTGTTTGCCCTCTGAGCCTTTATGCTGATATAAGATGTATTTCTTCCCTTGTAGGCATCTCCTTCACTCCCCGTGAGGTGGGCGAGCACTTGGTATCAGTTAAACGCATGGGCACACACATTGCCAACTCTCCCTTCAAGATCACTGTTGGAGAGAAGGAGGTCGGCGATGCCTCAAAGGTCAAGGTAAGTCAGGCATACAAGCCCTTGACCCTGTATAGTAATAATTTTATTTTTATTTATTTATATTATGTGTATTCTATATTGCCTTCTGCCATTATGTGTTAATTTATTGAAGAGGCATCTACTGAATCATGATATTTGGCTTAATGAAGAGTTAACACACACACACACACACATATTTATCGTTCATCCATTGTTACCCGTCACATCTAAAGTCCCTAAATCTTGTGTACTCATCATCTCACACAAGTCTGCAAGACCCACCAACCCCGTCACTACAGGGACGCCCCTTTTAATATTTTATTTTCGTAATGCCAATCAGTTTTATTCAACACAGAGACCTCCATACATAAGGGATTAACAGCACATCTTCCCTAAAACTTAATTCCCACCACATTCACTCACTGTTGTTACCTGTAGGTCATCTTCCCAACCTTTAGTGAGTCCTTCACCCCTTCCTTCTACCTAGGTCTTCCCCTCTCCCTCCTACTGTCCACCTCTTGAGTTGTACAATCATCTTAGTACTGAAGTCTCTCACTTCCCATTTCCTCATTACTGAACAGTATATCCAAACCACCTGAGCAAACATTGATCAACACAATATTCCACTTCTACAACTCCTTATTGTTGTACTGTATTGTTCTCTACATCCTGTTATCCTTCACCATATCACTGTATTAAAACTGTGTTCAGGTAATTTAACATCAGCAGAATATTTGCTGTTTTAAAAACATAAAAACATGGTGATGAAATAAAACATGTGGAGCTTTAATCAGTTTCCATCGTTACATCAGAGATTTCTTATTTCTACTGTGCAGTACTACTGTACCTAGCAGGGAACCAGCACATCTTGATATTAATCAATGGATCCAGCCACACTTTCCATAATAAACTAAAAATACAATCAAATCTCATATTATATACCATTTTATGCTTAAGATATTGGAATAAAATAATTTTTCACTTATAGCCACAGACATGATCATTAACACCCAACAAGATTCACACAAATAATGTATATCTTCCATTCACAGCAAACTATTCATTAATACCCAATGTGAATATTAATTCTTTTCTGTGGTTCAGATCACCGGTAAGGCCCTGACTGAAGGTGTGACTCACCAGGAGAACCAGTTCACCATTGACACCCGTGAGGCTGGCTACGGTGGTCTGTCTCTCTCTGTTGAGGGTCCCTCCAAGGCTGATATCCAGTGCAAGGTGATGATACCATCAGTACACTATTATTGTTAAGAATACAGCAGTGTTACTCTCAGTTTAGGAATAAATTATAAATCTGAAAATATTGTATCAGGTGGAGGTAAATGATTTTTAAAGACAAGAGGAATTGTCTGATGTAGTTAAAAAAGAGTGGTGTAATATGAACTGTAGTGATGACTGATATAAGACATGTTCTTCATGAAGAGTATATTAACTGATCTCTTTCTTTACACCATTAAAGGATAACGAGGATGGTACACTAACAATTGGTTACAAGCCCACGGAGCCAGGTTATTACATCATCAACCTCAAGTTTGCTGACAACCACGTTCATGGCTCACCCTTCACTGCCAAGGTAAGTTCCCCTCCCTGTGTTGTCCATAATTAATAATATAGATACAGGTAGCTAGATTTTCTTTTATTTCTATTCCTCTTTCACTTAAGTGCAGGGTGGCTCAATATGACAACAGACCTCAAAGTAATAGGACAAATAGTATGGTTAAAAGAAGCAACTCACATGTAAACAGTGACAGGCTGGGGGCTAAGAGAGCACATCTATTACCTTGCTAACATTGTAACCCAAGATTCACATTTATTTTAGTAACTTACAATAGCTTTTCCCTGAGTAGGTCATGAGTTATTGTGATTCTTCTTGAATAAACTTTTGTAACATTTGTTTCCTTAATTAAGACAAAAAATTAATACAGTATTTGGTGTTTCTCTGGAGTAGTGTAAACTCTACTAAAAATTTCATGTTTACCACCACTGTACAGTACAAGTTTCTAGAATTAATGTTATTTTGTACAATGTTTACATTGCATATTTTTTCTAAAATGAAATGACAAATATAAATTTGTATCCCAGGTGACAGGTGAAGGAACAAACAGGCAGACTGAACGTATCAAGCGCCAGCGTGAGGCAGTGCCTCTTACTGAGGTTGGCTCTCAGTGCCGCCTCACCTTCAAACTTCCCGGAATTTCTCCATTTGACCTGGGAGCAACTGTGACCTCACCTGGTGGTGTCACAGAAGCTGCAGAACTCGGTGAAGTTGAAGATGGACTGTACGGCGTCAACTTCGTGCCAAAGGAGCTGGGCGTCCACACTGTGTCTGTCAAGTACCAGGAGATGCACATCCCAGGATCTCCATTCCAGTTCACGGTGTGTACAGTACTGTTGTGTTCAGGATGATGGCCAGTAGAGTGTGTTGTTGTATCAGACTGTCACACATTATCTTGTTCACATATACAGTAACCTTCATCCCTGTGGTTTAGGAAGTAACTCTGAAGGTTAAATAATGTGGGACAACAACAACAAAATTCTTTGCTGTAAATATTCATAATCGTTTCATATAGCCATATTTACTCTTCCCAACGTTACCTACTTCACACACTACTGTCATTCTCTACCAATAAGAGAATGTTTGCATAAACTGTAGGAAATATAAATATATATAATTTATTTCACATTAGGGAGAAGACTTGTACAATATAGGTAAAGGTGTGGTGAGGGAGTGAAGGTGACACAGACACTTCCAGTACATCAGAGGTTGTTTCAGGTATTAGTACTGTACAGTGTTGTAGCTGTTTTGACCTTTGTGTTTTATTGAAGCTGGCAAACTTTGTGTGACGTTTTTATTAAGAAACTTCCAGTCACTCATAGAAAACACATGGCAATTTTATATCACATACATTATAGAGTTAAAAGTTGACCTGACATTACACCAAACTACTGTAGTTGACTTCCTCAATTTCCAACAGCTTTTGTCATCATTAGGTTCATGTTTATTAAATCTTGGTACAGTATAGTGCAGTTATATAATAAGCTTTTAGATAGTCTTACTTGTAACTTGGCCACTATAAATGGCTGCATGATTTCATTGTGGAAACTTCTTCTCAGTACTAAAGATATGTTAAATAATTCAAAATTTTTAAGTTACTACACAAGTTGTCCTCTGGTGTGAGTACATAAAGCTGTTAATGTGTGGAGACAGTGAGAATGTCCACTACAAGTTATGTGAACTGGTTGAGAGGCAACTAGACAGATGACAAATGGCACAAGTCAATAATTATAAAACCTACTACGGTACCTCACTCATGTCTGGTAGACCAAATGTTGTAGAGCGCTGTAGAAGTTGCCCACTAAGTGTTCCATCAGCAGGAGAGAATAACAGTTACGGAGTAAAGTGTCATGTACAAACTTCTTCCTTCATCAGGCTACATACATTGTGTGAGAGAGTTCAGGGGTCGTCTCTCAGGTAAAATAAGGAACATTCATATTGTTCTGGTATATCCTGGACCTACTGTACGTCCATATTAAATAATCTTTCTAATGAGTCTCTTTTCTGTTGGCCTGCAGGTTGGTCCACTGAAGGATGGTGGCGCCCATCGCGTGCACGCTGGTGGTCCCGGCCTGGAGCGTGGTGAACAAGCCATGCCTAATGAGTTCAACGTGTGGACCCGGGAGGCTGGTGCCGGTTCTCTGGCCATCTCCGTTGAAGGTCCCAGCAAGGCGGAGATTGACTTCAAGGACCGCAAGGACGGCTCTTGCTACGTCTCCTACGTCGTGCAGGAACCCGGTAAGTACAGTACACCATGACAAGTCTTCGACCCTTTACATACTCAGAGGTGGTGAGTTGTGGTCTATACTCCCCTCAATACTTTTGGCTGGAAGGGTATTGTCATTACCCATGTCTCTTGGTCTGTTGGCGAGTTTACCGGTTAGCCTAAATCTTGCCAACCTAAGTAAGTTTTGTATTTTAGCTGGATTGAATTGACGCCTGGTAGACATCACCAGTGTACAGTGTTGTCTCGGGGGTCACACCATTCAGTCTCTCCTTTGCTAAAAACTTGACTGAGTGAGGAAATTTTTTATTTATTTTTTAGTATGTCCTATACAATATAATGTTTAAGATGTTTTGTGTATTTTCAATATAATTCAGGTGATATCAGTAATAATGAATATGAAAACAGTACCAGTCCTTTTACAAAACAAATTACATCATTCTCTTTAGGTCGCCTCATTAATAGACACAAAGAACATAATTATACAGTATACAGTAAACCCTTGTTATTCGTGAGGAGAGGTTCCAAGGAATGGCGTGAATAGGCAAAACCGCGAACAGCATCTTATACTACCTTAGTGCACTACTGTATACCTATACCAAACAACTGACCAGCCGCAGCAGCACTCATCCCCTTCTTTAACTTGTCTAATAATTCAACTTTCTTTGTCAGGGTCATCATTCACTTCTGCCTTTGACATTTCACTCCACTAGCATCACTAGCACTGACACTAGACAGTCTTTTGGGGTCCATTTCACACAGAAACACTAAAGTTTTGAGAGTACAACATGAGAAGCTGCGTGGGGTTACTCATTGTGCTGTGGGAAAAGGCTCTAAAGCTAGCCACCATAGCCACCATCTGCTTCCTGCAAATCGTCGAAATCGCGAAGCGCAAACCTGTGAATGGCAAGGGTCTACAGTACTGTACTCTCACCCTCACTGTTGAATTCTTTCATACAACAGTTTCATATAACATTAATAAGTCAGTAATGTCCCTGATTATATTACCTGTGTTTAGTATTATTTTCATTATTTTCTGTAATAAAACATACACAAAAATTATTTTATGTACAGTATATATCTTTTAATTTAGTTGTTCATCCAGCATTATTTTCTTTTATTCTGTTTTCTATTTTAGCCAAATTTACATTGATTTATTCACCTTTTTTCTTCTGTGTTTTAATATATATATTTTTTCTCTCATTGTTTACTGTACTGTTGATATCTCCTCACCAACTCCGCAGTTATTTATTTATTGACTTATCATTGTTTTCTTAGGCCTTGTGTACCGCCTTTATACCTTAACAAGTGTGTGTCTGTGTAGGGGTCTAGGTCCTCTGCCACACCATAACACAGTGACTGGGGATTATTCTGGACAGTACAGTAATGATAAATGCAATGATAGTAATCGTCACTCATTAGAAATCTTATTGAGTCATGTTTACATTGTATTAACTTTGGTATAAAATCATTGGTAGTTGTATTAATCATTCATGCGGCGGCTCTTTCTCTTCCGTTGTCTACTTCTATGTGGTTTATTCACCTCCTGTGGGTAAAAGGTGTTTTCTGTGACACCAATATCAGCTTTAGTCTTTTTTCATTGTAAGAGTGTAAACCAGTGACCTATTGGTTTAGTATAGTTATTATTCACTGTGGAACTTCTGTTGTGATTGGTTACTGTAGGTGTGTGTGTGGAAGGAAGCCCTGGTCTACATTTTAATTCATTAAGACAGTTTATGACGATGGTCTTCACACATGTTTAGTCAACTATAATGTTACTAAGTTATGTATGGTATATTATAGTACTGTACTGTACTGTACTGTACTGTACTGTACTGTACTGTACTGTACTGTACTGTGCTGTACTTTACTATGCTGTGCTGTGCTGTACTGTACTGTACTGTGCTGTGCTGTGCTGTACTGTACTGTACTGTATTGTGCTGTGCTTTACTGTACTGTGCTGTACTGTAATATGCTGTGCTGTACTGTACTGTATTATGCTGTGCTTTACTGTACTGTGCTGTACTCTACTGTGCTGTACTGTACTGTAATATGCTGTGCTGTACTGTACTGTAATATGCTGTACTGTACTGTAATATGCTGTACTGTACTGTACTGTACTGTATTGCACTGTACTGTATTGCCCTATACTGTATTGCACTGTACTGTACTGTGCTGTGCTATGCTGTGCTACTGTGCTGTGTGCTGTGCTGCTGTGCTATGTTATGCTGTGCTTTTACTGTGCTGTGCTGTGTGCTGTGCTGTGCTGTATTATGCTGTGTGCTTTAATGTGCTGTGCTGTGCTGTGCTCTCTTTGTACTGTATTATGCTGTGCTTTGCACATGCTGTGCTGTACTGTGCTGTACTGTAATATGCTATGCTGTACTGTACTCTATTGTGCTGTGCTGTGCTGTGCTGTACTGTACTGTACTGTGTTGTACTGTAATGTGCTGTGCTGTACTGTAACGTGCTGTACTGTACTGTGTTGTACTGTAATGTGCTGTACCGTACTGTGCTGTACTGTACTATAATGTGCTGTACTCTACTGTGCTGTACTCTACTCTACTCTGCTGTGCTGTACTGTACTGTGCTGTGCTATACTATAATGTGCTGTACTATAATGTGCTGTACTTTACTGTGCTGTACTCTACTGTGCTGTACTCTACTGTACTGTGCTGTACTCTACTGTGCTGTACTCTACTGTGCTGTACTGTACTGTACTGTACTATAATGTGCTGTACTCTACTGTACTGTACTCTACTGTGCTGTACTCTACTGTACTGTACTGTGCTGTGCTGTGCTGGACTGTGCTGTGCTGTGCTGTGCTGTATATGGACTGTGAACATGAGTGTGTATAATCCACAGAGTTTGGTAAGGGTCAGGTTTGGACATATGCCAGGTACCAAAATAGAAATATAAAACAGTTTAAATAAATCATTACATTACTGTGGGATGCAGAGCTGCTGTAGCATATAAAGAAAAATAGACATTTAAAAAAACACATTGATAAACAGAAAAACACCAAACAGATAAAGTTCATTTTGTTCTTGTCAGAGTAATATTGTAAACATTGTATAAAGGATTAAAAACACCCAAAGGTTTTATAAAAAAAATCTAATTTCAAGACAAAAATAAATACATCTGTACTCTACTATGTGGTCACCTGTACCTTTTGTGTGAGTGACTTAAGAGAATTAAGTTATATTTACATCTGTGACATCAGAAGACTCCCACAGTGTGACATCATCAGTGTTTAATTTGAGATGCACCTTACTGGTTGCACGAGCAAGACACGTGACTCATACCCAGACACGGTGTTGGTATACATCATATTTTTTTAACCAACGTATTGATTATTTTTTCTTGGCCTTGCGTCTCTTACCAGGGAGTGAAGTTCTACACGGGTATTAATGCCAGGTTTAGTTGGAAATGTATTGACACAAGAATCCATTTATCTCTTGGAACCAGGAAATTTATCTTTCGGTGTGTGTGTGTGTGAAGTCATGTTAGAGGTGATGGCACACCCTAAGAACTCTACATCAACGCCACGCCCACACCTCCAGCAGGTGGAAGCCGTCCCCAGAGAGAGTGGCAGCAAGTTGAACTAGCAACACGAGCTAGTTTGGTTGTGTGGTGCAGTATATTCTTATTCCACACCAGAAATGTTGCCAATATAAGCTGAGGTTCCTTGTCAACAAATGGCTTCAAAAAAAAAAAGAAAATGACAAACATGTGACCTGTCTGGTGAGAGGAGAGCAGACCTTCAGACAGACCACATTTGTCTCTTCTCACTATACTGATGATAATCTGTATTTAGGAAGAAGGATCTACACCTGTATGCCCAAGTACTAGTCTTTTCACTCACAACATATGGCAGCAACAGAGTCAATGAGGCAGTGATTTGACAATATATACACCATGATATAAGGTGTACTGTAACTATATCTGCCTGGGTTAGTTAGTCATATATAAATATAATACCATAGTTAAAAGATCAAGGAGGGTTTTGAAGAGAGAGAGAGAGAGATCATCAACCCGGAGGAGGAAGAAAGAACACCATAACACAGTAGGTCATGTTGCCTCCACAGTGTTTCGTCCAGCCTCTTCCTGACACAACCAGACGAGCTCACTTTTCTTATCTCACTTAATCTAACCAAATCAAACTCCTATAACCTAACCTACCCACACCACTTTTTCAGTAACACAGACATGACAACTACCACCATAACCACCACACCTACCCACACAACCACCACCCCCAACTACAACTACCCCCCCCCCAACTACCACCCTACCAACCACCACACCCATCACCATACCCACCACACCATCAACCACCACACCCATCACCATACCCACCACACCATCAACCACCACACCCATCACCATACCCACCACACCACCAACCACCACACCCATCACCATACCCACCACACCACCAACCACCACACCCATCACCACAGCTAAAATCTCATATAAATATAGCAGTGAGCAACCAAACTTACCATCTGTGTCCTACTCAGGTTAAATTTAAATACGACACTTCTGCTGTAAACATCCTGCAACACCTCTCACCACACCCACACTACACCTCCCCACCCCTACCTCCCCACCCCTACAATACACCTCCCCATCCCTACAATACACCTCCCTACACTACACTTCCCCATCCCTACACTACACTTCCCCACCCCTACAATACATCTCTCCACCCCTACATAACACCTCCCCATCCCAACACCTCCACATCACACCTCATCCTCACACCTCCCCACTGTTACACCTCTCCACCTCACCCTCACCTCCCCACCACACTGCCCACACCTCACCTCCTCTCCACACCTCCCCCCTCACCTCCTCACTCCACACCACACACTCATTTTTGCCTCATTAAAAGGTTGGCATTGGCCTCGAGTTATGGTTCATCTAGGTTATGTGTGAAAGTTTAGTCGTTTTTTGTGGAGGACAGATAAACACCAAGACAGGTCGAGGAGCCGTGTGAGAGATCAAGGGT